CTCTCTCTCTCTCTCTCTCTCTCTCTCTCTCTCTCTCTCTCTCTCTCCCGCTCTCTCCCCACCCCCTCTCTCTCCCCATATTACAAACTGCTGACTTTCCAGTGCCCAGAATACTTTCTGTCTTATGGGAGTCACATAAGTGGCTAGAACAGCACAACCTGTTCACAACTGAATCAATAAAGAAAGAACTCAGTCCACGGCCAAGAGCCACCTGGACAGAAGGCAGAAAGCATATGGACTGCTTCAGTGAAGGCACACATCTGTTCACCTTGAGTCTCAAGTTGCTCTGGATACTCTCCAGAGCAGTCACAAGATGAGAGGTTCCTACATTTCCCTTTGTCTGGGGACATAGTATTACCCCACTAGAAGTGAACTCTTCAGTACCATGGGTCTGATTTTTTTAAAGTCCACATTGTGTTTCTGTTTCTTGAACTATAGAAGATAACGGAAGCTATTTTCATAGGAGATGCAATAAAAACTAAATGAGCTTTTTCTCTCTCTCTCACTCTCTCATACACACATACACACATGATTGCATAACAGAATAATTTTGACTCAGCCTACTTAGCAACTGACATTCATATATATACTGATTGTAATGAATAGCTATGTTAACATATGGACACACAATTGGCCAAAATGACTTCTTAGTTCCTGCTGTAAAACATACTTACCTAAAAGAAGGAGGAACGGACAATATTTTAGCACTCCACAAATGATGGTTATTTTATTTTATCCTAATAAAAATGTTGAAAAGTGATATTGCAGCAGTCTTTTTAAAGTGGTAATTGAAGCTCAGAGAGTTTAACTAACCTGTCAAAACTCACATAGTCATGCAGTCAGAAATTAGAAAGCTATTTCCAAAAGACCAAGTCATTCTCTTTAGATTTTTAAAATTAGCCTCTCTATCAATGATTTTTCCAATCTTTTAAAGTTTAATTAAAATTCATGGAAAATGAAGACTGCCTGATACAAAAGGATATATGCTGTATAACTGCATTGCTATGAAATTTGAAACAAGTTGTGTTTGATCCGTCCTTGTGTGTGGAGGAACAAGGGTGGGTTGGGGAAGGGCGAAAGTGAACTTCTAAGGAGACACAAATCTCCTTGTGCTTGATAGTGGATTATATGATATATGTGTTTGTCAAAACTCATCAACGCACATACTAAAAATCTGTGCATTTCGCTGTATATAAATTACATTTCCATTTTTAAAGTTTAAGGCCATAGAAGAGAAAAATGAATTAGTCTTGAATCTAAAGTGAAAAATAATAGCACTGTTTGGGGAGCTTTTATTAAACCTCAGAAATAGCCAAGATCAAACTCTTCTTTGCTGGGAAGAAGCTGAAAGATAGCATGCTAGGTGGCCTTTTGGCCAACACAGTCATGTGATGAGCCATCCCCCACCTCGACTGTCACTGAGAAGGGCTATCATGGCAGGGTGAAGCTGGAATGTGACAATATTTGGACTCATTGTTCCAAACGGCCCTCATGATTTTAACCTCTGGATGGTGTGGGTAAGGAGACAACATAAATGACAGTCAGTCAGTCTTGTGGAAGACTATATTCCAAGAGGTAATTTAGTAAAATATCACAAGGACAGATACTAATCTGTGTAGCCTAGGGATAAAAAAATAAAGATGAGGGGTTTTTTCTAACATGCCATAATATACTTTATTTCTGTTTATTCCTGTTTCCTGTTATTTAGTACTTTTTAAAATTAATTTCATCTTCAGAGTATTCCTATGAGGCAAACACACAGCTTCCAGTTGAAATGAAGATTAAACTTTACATTGGCTAGCCACCATAATCTATCTTAAGACATTTCAAATGAACCTTATTCAAAATCTTGTGGAAGCTTTAGCCGCACTGAACTGTGTGGTCTATTTTTGGTGCACACAAGCTCTTATTTAAGGTGGGAGAAGAGTAAGAATAAAAAATGTCACAGCACAGTTAGGAGCGTTACCGTGCATCATTTCCCAGTCGTCCCCTTCTTGAATGACTGAGTTCTCTACCTCTTCTATATCAAGGCAATTTAAATTCACACAACCATGCAAAGGCATGCAGAAATAACTCATTGGGAAGATACCAGCCACCGAAAAGAAACAATAGAAAATAAGCAGCAGACTCTTGCTTACCTCCAACTATAACAGATAAATAGTCCCTTGATGTTTTCCTCAGATGGCGCATTAAACAAAAGGCCTTAAAGAAAAGAGCATTTATTTGGCTGAGAGAAATAGAAAAGTTGTATGATGTGAATCAGAGCCTCTTAATCTGTGGGCTGCAATGACCAGGTGGGGGTCACATAACTGAATGTGGGTGTGGTCACATGGTTGGCACACAATGACCAAAAATTAATTCAAAATCAAGCAGGCAACCAGTCCAAGGTGCTTCTGTACCACTCAGCCAAGTTACACCTAGATGGTTCTGCAGCCTTGGCTCTGAATACACCACAGACAGGAAATGCTGACAGCACTGCCTGAAACACCGTGGCTCAGACACAAGTCTACTGCAGTGTTATACTGTACATACAATATGGCAGCCACTCAACCATACACATAGCTAGTAGAGCACTTGAAACATGGCTAACATGACTGAAGAACTAAATTTTGAGTTTCATTTCATTTTAATTCAGTTTCATGTTGACTGGTGGCTATTGTGTTGGATAGCACAGCCCAAGAATGTTAGCAGAGAAATTAACGGTGACTCTGACCTTATGTTCAGAGAAGACATGTTGTCTCTGTCATTTCCCTCTTGGACTTTGGGACATTAGACTTACATCTATGTGACTTTGGCATGGCTATTTGTTGGAGACACCTGCTATTCCCTGGGGAGAGACTTCAGCCATGTCTGATGAGTACTTCCTCACAGTCATGAAATGGTTTGTGACATGTGGAAACATTCTCTTTCCTCCTCTTGACCCAAGAGACTCCAGAGCGTGCCCTTGTAGATAGTTGGTACAGCCTTTTTTCTGGCTTAAATTCTAAACCACGGAAATAACAAGGTCTCCCAGTGGGTTTCATGAGAAGAAAATAAAATAGGTGTGCAGCCTGCCTCACTTTGGTAAGAATGCGTTGATATCCCTAGCAGCTTCTCCCTGTGTGGTCAGTCTCTCCCTATGCAGCAACAACAGCCCTGCTAGGCTCCCTTCCCAGCCTCTCTGAATGAAAGCAGCCCTTGGTGGGAACCAACTTTGCGATCTACTCTCAAAATTCCCTGCAAGTGAGCAAAGCATTAAGCTTTGATTTTGAACTAGGTCACAGAATTAGCTAGAGAAGGAATCAGATTCCGTTGAATTGACTAATCATCCTGCCTGGAGCAGTTACTACTAACAAATGAGTAATAGCCTGAGGCGCCTTGGTAGAAAATGATGCTGTAGCCATTTAGTAATGTCTTCACGGGTTCATAGATAAGGATCTGTGTTTGCAGCTTCTGTGCAGCCTCTGTGCCTTCCCTACAGGTTGGGATGCAAGCAAAGACACTCAAAGGAGTGGAACAACACAAACACATTGGCTACTAAACAGCCTGAGGAAGCACTGACAGTGCAGTAGGCATGGAGAGATACTGGAGACCAATTGCAACCGGAAGCATGGAAAGAATGAGGGAAGAGTAAATAAGGAGAATGAAGGTGTGAACCAGGATGGATGACACAGTGATGAGACCCAGGAGATGGCTCAGCAGGTAAAGGCACTGGGGGCCTAGTCTGATGCCCTGAGTTCTATCCTTAGGTTCCACAAGATGGAGAGAGAGAACCAACTCCTGAAAGTTGTCCTCTGACATAGACAGACACACAAACACATACACACAAATAAGTAAATAAATAAATGTAGTCTTTAAAATTAAAATAAAAAGACACACCTCTCCTTCTGCAGGGGAGAGGTGCAGAAAGAGGATCTAATTGCTATTAATTGCTGTGACAAAATATCCAACCACAAACAACTTAAGGGAAGAAAGGATTGTTTTGGCTCATAGTTCAGGGGCTCATTCAATCGTAGTGGGGAGGGCCTGGTGTCAGGGGCTTGGGCAGCTGGTGACATCATGACAGTCAAGAGGCAGAGAGGATAAGTGCTGATATTCACCTTTTATGCAGTAAAGGACCCTGGCCCACAGATGGTAATCCTCCCATCTCAATTAAACTAATCCAGAGAGGGCCCGCACTGACATGCTTCATCTCTAAGGGGAGTCCTGGAATTTGTTTCATAGGGAAGCAAATGTGTTTCAGCCAAGTTATGGTTAATCTTTACTGTCAACTTGCCTGGATTTGGAATCTCTCAGAGACACACCTTTGGGCATGTCTGGGAGGGGTTTCCTTAAAGATGCGTCTAAGGAGGGAAGGAAGGAAGACCCACTGTGAATGCAGGAGATACAAGTATCTCCTACATTATATTTATATAGGAGAGAGACCATGTATTTAGTCTAGCTGCCAAAAAAAAAAAAAAAAAAAGCTGTATATGAGAATGGGTTGCCTGGAACAGTGGCAGCCACCTTATAAAAACAAGGTATCAAATGGCATTTGAACACACACACACACACACACACACACACACACACACACACACACCTACATACAATGGCATGATAGTGAGGAAAGACAAAAAATGGGTCTTTGATCATTGGGGAACTTCTATCACATGAAATGACAGACTGTGTTGATTAGGCTAATATGAGTTACAAAAATGTGTATGCTTCCTACACACATATATATTTTAGGGGATTTGTATGTGTGTATATATTCTATATGTACACATGTATATGAAAGACTCAAACTGGACCAAACATGATACCACAGTTCTGAGATGCTGAAACAGGCAGTGCAGGGTCCTAACCCTCAAGAGGAAGGAAACCCATGTGCTTTGGCTCATTCACCTGGCTCTTTATTTGGTAGTGTCATCTATTCCTCAGGGCCAACAGACAAAGGGTGAGATGGGAGCAGATGTTAGGGACTGTGTTGGCTAGTTTTTCAAACTAACTTAACACAGGCTAGGGTCATCTGGGAAGAGGGAAAGTCAATTGAAAAAGTACCTACAGCAAATTGCCTACAGGCAAGTCTATAGAGCATTTTTTTAATTGGTGATCAATATGGAAGGACCCAGCCCACTGTGGGTGGTATCTCCCCCAAGCAATAAGAAAGCAGGTTGAGCAAGCCATGGAGAGCAAGCCAGTAAGCAAAATTCCTCCATGCTTCTGCAAGTTCCTGCCTTGACTTCCCTTCATATGGGATAATAAGCCTTAGACAGTTGCTGAGGGAATTGAAACAGGTATCAGAGAGGATAAAATTGTTTTGTTGTGGAAAAGACTCTAGATTTCCCTCTGGTTGTTAACTAGAAAACTAGGCTTCATGTTTAGGGTAAGAGCCCAGGAGATCTAAAAGGCAGGTCTAACAGTGATTTACTGTACATAGTCAAGTTTTTCAGTGTTGGCAGGAGGAGCCACATCTCTGCTAGAATAGAGAGACTTCAGGGCTGGGTACATAGACCAAGGTGGCAGAGCACATATCTGAGATGCACAGGGATCTAGGTTCAGGCAGGAGCACCACCAAAAGGAAAGACAATGATGCAGGCGAGACTTCATTGACTAGCTCAAGTGATCCAGACATGTGATGCCAGTGGGCAGAGAACTAGATCAATGAAACAGGTCAGAGAGTCCAGAAACAGACTACGTACTCAAATTCAAATTGATTTTGGACAACAGAAATAAGATAATTCAAGACAGTACAACCAAATATGTGGGGAAATATAAGTAGGAGATGAATCATAAGCCTAACTGCAAAAGCTCCTGAGAGACCACAGATGGGCTGGACTTGTTTGTATTTTGAACCAGTTTCTCAGCTGCTGGCCATAATTCTGGTCCAGAATCTAAGCTTTTCCTTTTATTTCAGACAATATCTCACTAGAGTCAAACTCTTGGTCCTCCTGGCTCAGCCTCCTCAACACAAGGATTATCGGCATGTGCCACCAGATCTGATAATAAGCCATATTTTTTTCATTTTAACATTACTTTAAAAAAAGATTTATTCGTTTCATTTTTCTGAATGCCTTGCCTGCAGGTACATCTCTGCACTGTGTGTTTGCATGGGATCCTCTGCAACTATAGCTGCCGACAACTGTGACTAGAACCTAGGTCTTCTAGCAGAGCAGCCAGTGCTCTTGATCTCTGGGTCATCTCCCCATCCCAGGAAACCATTTTTGGAGATGGCCGATGGCTGGGATATTGTATCCAGGAGAAATTTATTGTGCCTTTACTGCAATATGGCATACACCAACTCAAAGAAGAGATAACAATGCATTTACTATGCACCCTTGCCTACAACAGAGTGTGAAGCTAAGATATTCAAAGTGATTCTCCCTGTGGCTGTCTGCTGTGTTGCATTTCATGACGTAATACCTCTGTTATTCCCTGAGATATAAAATGCCCTCTGCCTACAGAGTTTTGTGTAACTATGCATTTCTTCTTACTGTTGCTGGCTGCCCTCTCTGTGTGTGTTTAGGTTGCGCCCCTGCTGTCTGCATTACTGCCAGCTCCTTAGAGCAACAAAAAGGCTCCAAAAAAAAAAAAAAAAAAAAAAAAAAAAAAAAAAAAAGGGGGGAAAAAAAAAAAAAAAAAAAAAAAAAAAAAACAAGGAGGCAGTCAGAAATTTCAGATTGTCTTCCAGGTAGGTTCGAAGGTTGGAAGAATTAGAGCCAGGATATGGCTTGAGAGTCTTGAGTTTAAATTCTGAGCCACACTGTTTGGCTAGAAATGATTTAATCAGCAATCTCTCCTACCACTTTTAGCCTCAGTTTCCCCATCTGTAGCAATCGTCCCTGTGAAAATTAATTGAGAAAATGTACAGGAAGTCCCAGTGCTCGGCCTGAGCCACAGTGAGGAACTATACTAAGTGTTAGTAGGACAGGTACTTTGAACCAAATAAATGAGCATGTTTATGTTTTCACAGGAAGCTTCTCCTCAGTCAGCATGAGCATTAAACTGGGAGGGGGGCAGAGACAACAGGGCATGTGGAGTAGAAAGGGGGAGGTGAGGCAATTGGAGAAACACTGCAGAACTGTGAAGAAAGACAGTCCATATTTAGTCCCAGGCAGCCAGTATAGAATGTTTTAAGCACACAGAGACATGGAGACTGGATTGAATGTGGGCATACTTGGGACAGAAGAGGATGTTCTAAATTCCTCTCACTCGTCTTTAACAAATCACACAGTACGCCT